ACTGCATTGATAATCCCTAAACCAGGGCTATTCAACTGGCGGCCCAGGGGCCAAATCTGGCCTGCGGGGGCCTAGCAAGTGGCCCGTGGATCATTGCCAGTTGTATTATAATAATGATCTTCCTATTGTGGGACTTTGGCTTCTGGCCCGTGACGATGACTGTTTTCCACCATTTTGGCCCCTGAGTAAACTTAGTTGAATAGCTCTGCCCTAAACCATAGACGCTGACCTGAGCAGGTCTTAGTTGTGTTATGTTCATTTACAACTTAATTTTCTCCTTTGGTTGGCTAATGTGAAGCAGATCAATCATACTCTGCAATCATCGTCATCATTCCTTAACGCTGCATGTCGTTGGGTCATTAGTTGTTGTTGAATGTCTGATCAAATCCCTCCACCTTTGACCGTTAGATGTTATGTACTTCATGGTTACGTGTCCATACTAGTGCCTTTTCTGTCTTTTCACTGTTGTTAAAAGAGCTTCATAGTTTCCAATGTGCTGTATAATTATATGATGAACCTCGTAATTTATGATGTGGTCTCTGTATGTTATACCAAGAATTGTTCTGGAAGATCACATTTCCAAGATCACATTAGAATGGGGTTTCCAGCGCATTTAGTGCATTTAATTGAAAATCTTTATCATGAACAACAAGCAGCCATCAGAGCAGCTGGTAAAACATCTGACTGGTTCAAGGTGCAAAAGGGGGTGAGGCAGGGGTGCATTCTCTCACCATACCTTTTCAATATATACGCAGAAAATATAATGAGAAATGTCAAAAATGACCAGACTTGTGACAGTTATGATCCGCTCAAAATTGGTGGCAACCCTATTCCGGAAGTCCGCTACGCATATGACACAGTCCTCCTTTCGAACAGCATAAAGGGAATAGAAAATTTAATATTGTCTGTCCAAAAGCACAGTGAAGATCAAAATCTGTTCTTGAATTTAAAGAACACGAAAATAATGTCTAAAGATGAAACTGGCTGTCACCTAAAAATAACAATAAATGATGAAGAAATTAAAAATGTCACAAACTTTGAATATCTAGGCCCTGTAATAAACTGCAATGGAGACTTTTCAACAGAATTTAAAAGAAGGATTACCATAGTAATGCAAAGATTGAACAGCCTTAAAGTCTATGGTTAAGCACCAGCAAGGAGATACAAATTAGAATTTTGAGAGCATGCATCTTCCCTGTGGCTACATACGGATGTGAGTCGTGGACTATCTCTCAGTCCTTAAAAAAGAGAATAGGGGCTTTTGAGCTGAAATGCTATAGAAAGATTCTCAGAATATCTTGGACAAAGAAGAGGAGAAAAACTTAAAAGATCTGAACATCACGGAAGATTAGCTAATAAACAGCATCCATTCTCGGAAGCTGAAATATTTTGGGCATATCAAGCGCCACGACGGATTGGACAAAATTATAGCAGAAAGCATGGTACCAGGAAGGAGGGGCAGGGGCCGATCGACACGAAGATGGGCACAGGATATAAGTGACTCCTTGAGTATGAAAGTACATGAGGCGGGAGAACTGGTGAGAGACTAAAGTTTCTTTCAGACAGACTGTGATGAGAGCGACATTTTGCAAAGGACCTGCTACATGATGATGTATCTCCTTTCAAGTTCAGCTGTTATAGATGTACTTACTTACTTAGTCGCTCCTCTTCTACCTTGGGGTGTAGAGGTTTGCAAGAGAGATCGCCAGATGTCTCTATCAGCAGTTTTCTTTCTGGCTTTGTTCCATTCCAGTCCTCTGTCAGTTAGGGACTGTCGGATGTTGTCTTCCCAGCGCCCCCTGGGTCGTCCTGGAGGTCTGGTTCCCTGGTTCTTAGCCTCCCATGCCTGCCATGGTGGCTAAATTTCTCCCATTCTGCATGCATGTCCAAACCATCGTAACTGTGACTGATCCACTCAGGTTTGTAAGGACTGGGTATCAAGATCTTGACATATTGTCTGATTGCTGACTTTGTCCCTTCTTGTCACTTGGACCACCTTTCTCAGATATCTCATTTCTGAGGCCTGCAGCTGGCTTCTGTGAGCTGTTGTCATTGCCCATGACTCATACCCATAGGTCAGGACTGGTGCATAGGTAGAGCAGTAATATGCCATTTTCGTCCTCTTGCCACTTTCTCTTTTGCTAAGAAACCCTCGTTTAAGGCCTGGAAGAGTCTCCCAGCAGCTGCTTTTCATGTAGCCAGCTCAGTCTTAATGCCTCCATTTCGGTCTAATATAACTCCAAGGTATTTGAACTGGTTAACCTGCTCCAATGCATACTGTCCCATCATGATCTGGTGTTTCTTCTCCTCTCTTGAGATCACCATGGTTTTAGTTTTGGAGATACTAATGGTCATCCCTCTCTTTTCAAGCTCTTCATTCCAGACAAGTAAGTTGGACTGAAAGTATGCCTCTGATTTAGCTATCAGGGCCACATCGTCTGCAAATGCCAGCTCTGATATACAGACTGGTATCATTTTCCAGTACCCTATAGAGTACTTCTTTGTCTTCTTACAGGTCTTGATGACATCATCCATCATAAGATGTCTAACTAGCAGCAGGTTGAACGTGGTTGAGTTTTTGATTTCCTTCTTAAAAGGAATTGGATTTGGAGAGGAAATTTATCTTTTGTATAATATACGTTGCAGATCTTATCTTAGATATTTATTGCTGTCACTGTCATGGACCCAGTTAGTTTTTGACTGTTTTTGTCGTGTTGTTTTGAAAGGCGTGTGCTTGCACACCTGTGTACTTTTGAATCATTGGTGTTGAACGTGAAAGGGAATGGGAGAGTGAGGCATGAATGGACAGTGACAGTTTGTTTTACAGGGACTGACGGCTAATGATTTTTTCTTTTCCTTTGTTCTACTAGTATGTTTGCAGCGATTAAAGTTAATTTTGACTACATCAACGACTTTCACAAAGGGTTCTCCGATGATTTAACTAGATTCCTGTTTCACTAGTACTTTGTTGAGTACCTGTTCTGTCAGCGGTGCCCGGAAATGATTTCTGACAGTGGCCCTGAGCATGTAGTTACCATATTTAGGGGGAAATGTCAGTCTACTCATCAGAAAAATAGGAAAACAAATTTACTTGTACTTACCATTGTCATGTGGTACATACTCAGCAAAGTGAACTTTTGGGGGAAGGAGGGGGTGGGAGGTCATTTGCTTAAAGGTTCATAAAGTTGATTTAGTTGTTGTAGTTGTTTTCCTAGGAGAAATGGTTTTGCACATATTCTGCAGACCTAATCCAAGCCCATTGACATTTGTTTTCCCCAGCTGTTTGACAGTCGTTGACATCTAGCAGTGGTAATGCTTAAACATCAGCATGCGAGATGACTCACAATTCTTTCCTCCAACACTTTGCATGAAATTATTTCTGCAAGTTTAGTTTTTTTTAAACAGAAACTAACATTATTCATTATTTGTTTTCTGTTGTTGCTTTTTGACATTTTAAGCTTGTGTGTCTGTGGTTTATTTTTACCATACTGTTATTCGGTCTATATATATTACTAATGAGTCGTCCCCATGTTGGATGCAATTTTTGGTTATTTGAAGCCCCAACCTGGCTTTTGCCGGGGGCCCTGAATATAGCCTGGTCATAAATATGGCCTAATGGCTAAAAGGAGTTTCTGGGACCTCTCCATAGGTGATCCTCATCGGCATGGTGGCACTTTCTGTCACCAGGTGTATCACTTGTGTGTTGTCCTGGTTGGGTACAAAAAGAGAGAAAGAGTTTTACCACACTGTTAAATTGCATTCAGTATTGTTGGTTCTTTCTTTCATTTTAAGTGTTTAACATCTTTTCGTACCAAAAAAACAGATAGTATTTTACAGATAGTTCCATTTTAATTATGAATGCTTGTCAGGCATTACCATAAAACATTACAGATCATTACTTGCTGGGAAAAAGACTTTGAGAAGTGGACGTGTAAATATTTAATATTTACAAGATAAACTACTAGAAGTTTAAAATATTATTGGTCAAAGAATTGATTTATTTGACTTTTTTTTAAACCTGTACTAACAGTTATATGTCAGTTAAGATCTTTTTCTTAGCGTTCACTGGTTGTAAGCTCCAGCTGAAGGTTGCAGTATTTTGTCCATCTCTGGAATTTGGTCTTGTTCCCAATCTGTATTATTTAGTTTTAGATGCTATAAACTGGCTGTAAACTCCAGCTCAAAGTTATGGTCTCTGGAATTTGGTCTTGTTCCAAATCTGTCATATTTGTATGCTCACTGTTGGTTCCGTGCCTCTCAGGTAGATGCATTCTGACTTCTGAGGAAACTCCTCTAATTAGTCGCCCAAAATGTCTTCCCCCAAAAATGGGTTCCTGGAACCCACACAGGGGAGGTAAGTAAAGTTAAATTCTGTGTGTGTATAGCCAGCTTATCATGTCTGACTGCTTTCATCAACAACAAACTGCATTTATGGTGGCGACTGTTGGCTTTGGCACCTCTAGCAATTGCCATATGCGTTTACTGCGTGTGCATATTTCTGGATTGTTCAGGACTAATTGTTTGTTTACCTGTTTTCTCTTTATTTCCCTTATGTTTTTGCCTGCCTTTATTTCTTTGACAGAGTAGGTTCCAGTGCAAAGACATTCTAGATATATTGTTACCAGGTTTTCTCAGCGTGTCTCATATCTAACGCCAGAATCATTGCTTCACCTCTTGAATCGCAGGAATGTGTTTAGTTCTCTTGACATTCGGGATTTTATCATGTTATTCTATTTATTCTTCACAGATGGCGGTTAATGAATGTTTATAATTAATAATTTTTATTTTTAAACTCATTCTTCGTGTTCATTTATGCTGCATACAGCAGTGCTGATTTGAAAGAAAAATTAAATATTCTAATTATAGTGCTAGTTTTAATTTACTTTGATTCTTTCAAATTTTCTCATGATATTTATTTCATTCAGTAAATAGTATGTTAACCTGAACTGTCAGATTCAAGTCTAAACAATATGAATAATGTTTTATACTATTTTTAACAGGGGTTCAGTCGTGCGATGTGACCTCTCTGAGGCCTAAAACAACAACTCGTAGAGTAGCAACATCAGTGAACCATGGCACCAGCGAAGACATGTCTGCAGTTTTTGAAGAGAACTTCTGAATCTTCAGCTTTGAGAGTTACTTAAAACTTGCACTTATCGTTGGAACAGCATAATACTTTGCTTACCAACTTGTTGGCACTAGATGATAGTTATCTATCTGAGACTATTAAAGTTTATAAAGTAATCTTTAAGGTGCTATAATTATTGAGTAGAGTAAATAATGTTTGACTAAAAAAGTAACAGTCAATCAAATGGGTTAGCCTTTGTTCATCAAATAAACCAAAGTGATGTCATGCTAGTATAAAAAAGAGAACAATGAAAACAAACGGGGAAAAAACAAGAAGGTTTTTTGCCCATGTATTTTTCCCATGTATAATTAAGAAAGAGACACACTGTTCTTTGGCCACCAGATGAGAAGAGAGACATTGGAGAAAATTGTGACAACTGGAAAGATCAGTGGAAAAAGGGGTAGAGGCAGACCAAGAAAGATGAAGCTGGATGGGCTGAAACAATGGCATGAAGGGATATATCATCAAGAGAGCTGTTCCAGTCAACCAGGGATCGTGATCTGTGGAGACGCATGAGCGCCTACGCCAGTTGGCAGGGTACATGATGATGATAATGATTATTCCTGCCTAAAATTTGTGTCCAAAGCACACTTTTTTTTTTTTTTTTTTTTAAATCTTTGTATATTTTTATTTTAATGGCTAAATGAATCTCTGTTAATTATAATTGTTAATAATGGGGTGGGTTTTGATAACAAACGTACTTGTCTATACTTTATTGTATGTTTAAAAAAACGCTGTCTGGGTTTTAAATCTAGAGCAAAACAAATTTTAGTGCTGTGGAAAATGGATTATATCTTCCTAGAAATGGATTATATCTTCCTAGACATGGATTATATCTTCCTAGAAATAAAATTTAATATACCAGATTAACCCTGTCTCCAAAAAAATAAAAAGTTTTTCTGACATTTATGGGTTTTTTGTGACATGCAGTCTTTGGACAGTGGTCACTACCCTGTATAACAGCTTAGATACTGATTGCACCCATGAGTTATGAGTTGAGTTAGGAGTTTTACGTTGAGTTATGAGTTAGAGCACTCAGTGGCCACTACATCTGTATAACAGCTTAGATACTGATTGCACCCATGAGTTATGAGTTGAGTTAGGAGTTATACGTTGAGTTATGAGTTAGAGCACTCAGTGGCCACTACCCCTGTATAACAGCTTAGATACTGATTGCACCCATAAGTTATGAGTTGAGTTAGGAGTTATACGTTGAGTTATGAGTCAGAGCACTCAATGATCACTACCCTGTATAACAGCTTAGATACTGATTGCACCCATAAGTTATGAGTTGAGTTAGGAGTTATACGTTGAGTTATGAGTTAGAGCACTCAGTGGCCACTACATCTGTATAACAGCTTAGATACTGATTGCACCCATAAGTTATGAGTTGAGTTAGGAGTTATACGTTGAGAGTTAGAGCACTCAGTGGCCACCCTAAACAGCTTAGATACTGATTGTTTAGATACTGATGAGTTGAGTTAGGAGTTTTACGTTGAGTTATGAGTTAGAGCACTCAGTGGCCACTACCCCTGTATAAAAGCTTAGATACTGATTGCACCCATGAGTTATGAGTTGAGTTAGGAGTTTTACGTTGAGTTATGAGTCAGAGCACTCAATGATCACTACCCTGTATAACAGCTTAGATACTGATTGCACCCATAAGTTATGAGTTGAGTTAGGAGTTATACGTTGAGTTATGAGTTAGAGCACTCAGTGGCCACTACATCTGTATAACAGCTTAGATACTGATTGCACCCATAAGTTATGAGTTGAGTTAGGAGTTATACGTTGAGTTATGAGTTAGAGCACTCAGTGGACACTACATCTGTATAACAGCTTAGATACTGATTGCACCCATAAGTTATGAGTTGAGTTAGGAGTTATACGTTGAGTTATGAGTCAGAGCACTCAGTGGCCACTACATCTGTATAACAGCTTAGATACTGATTGCACACATAAGTTATGAGTTGAGTTAGGAGTTATACGTTGAGTTATGAGTCAGAGCACTCAGTGGCCACTACATCTGTATAACAGCTTAGATACTGATTGCACCCATGAGTTATGAGTTGAGTTAGGAGTTATATGTTGAGTTATGAGTCAGAGCACTCAGTGGCCACTAACCCTGTATAACAGCTTAGATACTGATTGCACCCATAAGTTATGAGTTGAGTTAGGAGTTATACGTTGAGTTATGAGTTAGAGCACTCAGTGATCACTACCCTGTATAACAGCTTAGATACTGATTGCACCCATAAGTTATGAGTTGAGTTAGGAGTTATACGTTGAGTTATGAGTCAGAGCACTCAGTGGCCACTAACCCTGTATAAAAGCTTAGATACTGATTGCACCCATAAGTTATGAGTTGAGTTAGGAGTTATACGTTGAGTTATGAGTCAGAGCACTCAGTGGCCACTAACCCTGTGTAACAGCTTAGATACTGATTGTACCCATAAGTTATGAGTTGAGTTAGGAGTTATACGTTGAGTTATGAGTTAGACCACTCAGTGGCCACTAACCCTGTATAACAGCTTAGATACTGATTGCACCCATAAGTTATGAGTTGAGTTAGGAGTTATACATTGAGTTATGAGTTTAGACACATCCATAGGTGTTCAGATTCCCCTTTTAACATATTCATCAGCATCGCAGTCCTGTGCTGGTTGACAAGATTTTGTATGTGTCTGATGTGCCTCTCATGCCGGGTTGTGCCGATCTTCACTTCCAATTCTGGCATTCTTAGCAGCGATGTGGACATGTTGCTTTCAAAATCCTTAGAACGTCCTATCTCCCTAGGAGCACTGACAGTGTCTGCATGATCCATGAGCCCAGCCATCGTCAATTAATGCAGAACCTGCCAGTCTGTCAGCTCTTTCATTGCCAAAAACACCTGCATGCCCTAGGACAAGTATGAATGTAACTGCACACACAAGAGAATTTTGCAATCACTCAGGCCACTGCCTGTGTAATGAGCCTGCCTCGACCGCCTGGATCATGCTCAAAGAATCATATAGTGTGTAGACATGGTGGATATGATTGTATTTACAACAAAAATTTGAATTAATTTTTTTGGGGGGGTTAAAAAAAAAAAGCATTTGAAAAAAATGTATATCGTCATTTTGTAATAATGATAATCTCAAAGGTCACTGTGCTCCACACAGATAAATCAGTCAAATCATGTTTATTGTAGTCAGAGAGGAAAAAAACAGTTCATTGTTTGCTTCATTTCTTCTTCTTCGCGTTCACCAGCTATAAACTCCGGCGAAATGAAAAGTTCTTGGTGTTTGTCCACTTCTTGATTTCAGTTCTGTTCCAGAACCTGAGAGTAACATGTGTGTCCGTTTTACAGATCTGACTCATTTGTATGCAGACTACTAGTTCCTTGCCTCTCAGGCAGATGCACTGTGACTTTGAAGGAAGCACCCAATTATTCAAGTGTTTTCAATGAAGCGATATTATTTCTGAGTTGAACATTCTTACAATTTCATTCCCCACTCAGGAGAGTGTTTAATGAATTTATATTGTTTCTGAGTTAAAACATTCCGAATACAGGACAGTGTTTAATGAATCTGTATTGTTTCTGAGTTGAACATTCCCCACACAGGAAAGTGTCATTCCCCTACACAGGACTGTCATTCTTCACACAGGACAGTGTCATTCTTCACACAGGACAGTGTTTACAAAAACTGTATTGTTTCTGAGTTGAACATCCCCCACACGAATTGTATTAAAAGAATCTATATTGTTCCTATGTTGAACTAGAATCTACACAGGTCAGTATTTGCAGAAACTATACTGTTTCTGAGTTGAAAATTCTGCACATAGGACAGTGTTTAATGAATCTATATTGTTTCTGAGTTGAACATTCCCCCACTGTATACACTGTACATTAAAAAATGCCTAATGAAGCAGTTCTGTGTCATCTTCAAGCAAAAACGGGAGAAATTGTAACCAACTTCTCATGGGAACAATCAGTGTAGGTGCAGTGGAGTGGCTGCTGCGTTGGAGAACTGAGCACATATGGGAAGGCCCAATATGCAGTGACGTCGATTGTGATAAACAGTTTTGTTTTAAAATGTTCATTGCTGGCTATGCCAAAACTCTTAAGGTAATTGAGATAGTATGAAATGAATTCACGGATATCGATTCACATGCAAAGAATTACAGAAAGAAGAAGCTATCGAAGGACACATTCTAAATTTTAAAAGTGAAAATTATAGAATTCCGCTTAGCCAACTCTCAATGGTGACAGAGCCTTGCGGAGAACTAAGTGTACTGAAACTCCATGCGTAGCCAATCAGACACCCTCCTTCTTTTATTTTTTCATATTTGCCAATCAGTCATTTTGCTTTGGTTTCCTCATGCAATTTTTTTTTTTACATAGTGTTTGTGTTTTTGTGTGTGGTAATTGAGATAATTATTTTGTGCCTGTATACATGAAAGAAAGAAAGATTGACTAATAAACAGCATCCTGTCTCGGAAGCTGAAATATCTTGGTCATATCAAACGCCACAGCAGATTGGAAAAAATTATAGCAGAAGGCATGGTACCAGGAAGGAGGGGCAGGGGCCGACCAACACGAAGATGTGCACAGGATATAAGTGACTCCTTGAGTATGAAGAAAGTTCATGAGGCGGGGGAACTGGCGAGAGACCGAGTTTCTTTCAAACAGACCGTGATGAGAGCAACGTTCTGCAAAGGATCTGCTACATGATGATGATACATGAATGCTGTGATATTTGTGTCTTTTGGCCAACACATCTGACTCCTGGCTTTTGTTGAGCGGGACAGCATTTTCGGACCTAAAATAAATAACTTTATATATTTGAAACCAAATTAATTCATTACTGATTTAAGGATCTGCATCTTAGCCCGTCAGACATGCCTACAAATGCTCAGTCTCTTTCAGCAAGTGTCTTAAGGTGAAGATGCTAACTGTTACAGAAACACACTAGCTGTATCTACATTGTAGTATTTTCATTTGTCCTTTT